AAAGGGAAAAATTCACCACATTTCCTACCTACCTAGGGCCCATTTCAAAAGAAGTTTGTTCCCTCCCTGCTTGAAGGAGCTGGATTAATCTAATCCAGCACTTTGGGGAGGGACAGAAGTCAGGGTATTAAATAAAGCATTTCAATTCATTGTAAAAGTGGGGTTCTCCTTGACTGCAGTAATTCTGAAAGGCAGAGCTGTCTGGTAGGGATGGCACTTGTCACACATAGCACATGGACAAAAGCTCAAATCCTGAGAGGTAACTGGCACATGGTAACAGAGTTAAGATTAGTGAAAAGTGATGTAAGAAAGAAAAAATAAAAGTGAGAAGGCCTTAATTAGCAAGATTTCACAAGATTATTTATAAATTCCATCAAACTCCAAGTTAACACTAATCTCAGACTCCCTCTGAGAATTTTGGTGTTGCAGGACCCAGGTTTCACACACCCTCCTCTGAGGGAGGTCTGTCAGACTGGCAGCACCTTCTGACAGCTAAAAATGTCCTATTTAGCCTTTTTTTTTTTTTTTTTTTAATCAGAAACCTAGCCCCTTCAACTCATAAGAAACTGGTTCAGTTAATTTTTTTCATAAAGAGAATAATTTCTGTTTTCATCATAAGAAACAGTAGAATTTATTCTTCCGTGAACTCCTCTTGGAATTGAGTGTGTGTGTGTGTACTTGCACGTGTGTGAGTGCAGGAGAAATAAAAATAAAGGATAGACACAACTTTTTTGCTTCCCATTTGTGACTACACTCCCCAAAGATATGGGTGACCCCTCAGGTGTAGCCAGGAAATCCATAGGATATATTATTCCTAATTATCTCCTGGCAGCCTATGCTCCTGAGGCATGACAACATCCTTTCTGTTCCTGCAGTGAAATCTGAAAAAAAGGGCCAAATTTCCCCTTTTGGAAGGTGGACTTTGCCATCTATGCACAGTGCCATTAAAATTAATTACCTGAGAACCAGTTCATAATGTCCACAGGTATGGAAATAATAAAAATTAATTGACTGAAAGTATTCATAAAATATTTGGAGCAAAGGTCATTAATTTGTGCTCATTGAAACAAGAGACTTACATGCTTGAATTACCCAAATACTTTAGCAATAAGACAAATAGCAGGTGCTCTAAAAATAACTGACTACAGTAAAGCTCTGCACCTTTGGGGGTTTGGATCCCAGTTCTAGGAGTTCAGTGGGTGGCAGTGCAGGAGGTTGTGTACCTTGACCCTCTCCTTGAAAGCCATTCCCAAAAGGAAGTACTCAGACTTTCCTTCTCTTGCATTCAGACAAATCCATACTAAAGTAAAGAAAGGAAGAAAAGGAAAATAAACTTTGTTTGCAGGTGGGATTTTCTGAAGATGCATTTCTTGTCACTAAATAAGACACAGCAAAGGAACAATTGTAGATGTCACTTCTTGGGGAAGCACATCCTACCCTGATGTGATTCCTTGAGTGTAATGGAGGCAGGTATCAACCAAACTAATGGAAAAGGATTATTAAAAAACAAATAAAAAATTCCACTTTATAGTAGAAATTCAATTTTTATGAGCTAAGGAGAGTGGGATCTAATTTCAGGTGTTGAAAGGTGAGCCATTTCTGGGTGCTGCTGCTGGGGTTCATTTCTGTTGTAATCTGCAGAATGTACATATCTATAGATCTATATATCTTTTGTTATATGTCTGCTCAGATTGCCTATAAGTAATGATAATTATATAATTTCTGCCACATTATCAGGCTGCTCAGAGAAGCTGTGGCTGCCCCTGGATCCATGGAAGTGTTCCAGGCCAGGTTGGATGGAGCGTGGAGCAACCTGGGCTAGTGGAAGGTGTCCCTGCCCATGGCACATGGGGGACTGGATGAAACTGCAGGTCCCTTTCAACCCAAACCAGTCAGGGGTTCTGTGATTATGAATTAATTTCCCTCCTGTTTCCCAGCAGTCTCTCTGTACATCTTCCAGAGCCCAAAACCAGTTTTGAAGAGTTTAATTATTCCCAATTTCAAATCCAAAGTACTTAAGCATAGCACTCTGTACTGAATAAATGAAATAAGAACCTTTGATTTTTAAAAGCACTGATGCTTTTGTATAGTGAATATTCTCTTACAGCACTGGAATGGTCTGGATTTACACAGACAGCTCCTGATGTTTATAGGCAACAATTTATACAGTCAATTTTAGCACTGAAATTGCAGCACCTGTGTGATAAATTATTTAATTGTGGCCACTTGAAAAAGTATGTGTATCTCAATAAATATTGTGAATTTAGTAATTAAAGGGGAAGGCAAGTTTTTTTATCTCAGTGGCATTGAAAGAGTAAATAATAAGAGAAAATATAATTCTATTATAGAAAAATTTCTAAAGATTAATCATCTCTGTGGTTGAGGTTTTAGACTGGTACCAGTACAACCTGTGGGGCGACTGGAGAAATGTTACCCTACTATTTTTAATTTTCTTTTTTATTCTGTTTAAAAGGAATTTTGTCCAGGAATGATGTACTGTTATTCTTTTAATTATGTTGTTTATCAATAATACACAACAATTGCTTTAGACTTCAACACTGACAATACAAAAGAGGATAATTTGGAGATTATTTCTTTTGCATGCAGCATAATAATTGCATGTAATTAGGACCAAAACTGCTGCAAAGTCTGAATGTGTTGTAACCTCTGATGTTCAGATTTATGTTAAGAAAAATGGTATTTCTTGCCTTTAATTTTCTTCTCTCTAATTTTTTTCTACTGTTTTTTCCTAGTAGGTAAATATTTGTAATTTTTCAATAATAATGCTATTGTGGGGAGTATATTTGGTAAACAGGACTTTAAGTAATTCATTCCTTAAAGGCAACCACATTCTGATAAAATAAGTGTATTTTACTTTTTCACTTTGCAGTTCTCCATTATGCACCACCACAACTGGAATTGTGGATCTGGATAAGTCCCTCCCTTACTATTTCTCTATTTCTTCTATACACTCCTTCTCTCCAAAGAACTTCCTCAGTCTCTTACTCATTTCCTCTCTGTTCCTCTCAGTTATTGAAAGATAACCCCTTTCCTTCAAGCTGTATCTGGTTTTTGTGATTTTTAACTTGGCCAAGTGACATTCTTTACCTTGCACCATTCAGCAATTGGAAAACAGTATTCCTTTATTTATCCTCTTTCAGCTCAGATTTCCCTCATGAATACCAAGAAGTGCAAAACTCATTTAATTTTCCCACTTTATCCTGTTCACTTCATATTAAGTTTCTCCCTAATCCCTTAGTGGGCTAATTATTTCACTTTTCAGCCCTTTATCTCTTTCCTTTTATATATTTAAAGAATCTTATATTGTTTTTAGTCACTCCCAAGATAATAATTCCCTTTTTATTGTATTTTTCCATTGCAGCATTTTTGAGACACTGACATCCATCCTCCTCTACTTCCTTTATTAATTTTCAGGAACATTCATTTACACAACTCTGATACATTTTCTCCATTATCCCTCTCTCTCTCTCTCTCCAGTGCCTCCTCCCTCTGGGACAGCCTCTTTTTTAAGGCTGGCCCAGAGCAATTACAACACAATTACAGGGGAACCAACTACAGCAAAATTTTAATTTCCCCAAAATATTGCCTGCCTTCCTTCCAAATCTGCCAGAGTGGATTTTTTTTTTTCCTCTTCTCTAAGTCAGAAGCCAGTTCAGAATATTAAATTACAGGAATTCCAGAATGTGGAGTCCCAGGAAGAGCCACGTGTCAGGCAATTCCTGCTGGTTTTTGCACAATGCCACTCCTGGGATCAGCCTATTCCCTGAAAAAGACACTTTACATGGATTATCTTCCATCTGCTACTAGGTTTCTCATGATCACAGGTGCAACATTCTCAGAGTTCTACTCCTGCCTGTGATACCAAATCTTGCCCAATAAAATATAAACTACAGGAACTGAGTGCTCTAAATTTGCTGGTTTATTTAGATGAGGAAAACTAGGAATTTCATCCTAAGTATGTTTCCAGAGAGATAAAACTAATACAGTTAAGCCTTTATGTCTCTCTGAATATATTTCTCTGCACATGTTTGTAATCCTACAACCATATAATTATATAACAGGCACAGATACTTTAGAGTTTTGTGGGGGCTTTCACTGATTTGAAACCCTGTATTCCATAAACTTGAATAAATAATACATTCCTAATATCTTCTTTCATCTTCTTGTATTTTAGCATTTCAAATGCAAGGTGCTTTATTTATATTTTGTTTTATTGCATTTTGTACTCTACGTGGTTGAAGCTAGTCTTGCTAACTTGGCTTTCCTGTTAATCACCAACTCATCGTGTTCCACATAAAAAAGTACATATTAAAGCAAGTAAACTGTGTTTGGGAATTTGTTTGTTTTGGTTTTAGCAATGCCATCATTCCTCAGGTTTTCAGCATCTATTTGCTTCATGGTTTGAGTTTGAAAGAGTTTTAAAGGAATTAGAGCCGGCACTTTTTTAAGCCAGACTAAAGCCTTTGAATGATTTTGTAGATTGCCATTAATTAGTCTGGGTGGAATCCAATCATTTCCTTAATCTCTAAATAAGAGACTATTGTTTGAAGCACTACAGGCATAGTCTATCTGCAGATATTATCATTATTATTCTACTTTTAGCTCAGCCAAATTAGAACAGAAATAATCTTAACCTCTTTTAAAAAAAGACTACTAAATATCCCTCAAAATACAGATTGATTTCCCCAGTTTATTCAGTGGAGAGCCTTAAAAATTTTCAGCATTTATCCCTGTTGAAGCCAGGTCATTGGCAGAGAAAAGGAAATGATCCCTGAAGGCTTTCTCTATTTAATACCTGTGTAGTTCAAGACTTAGGATCCACATGCAGCTCATGGTAAAGGAAAAAAAATGGGAAAATGGGTGAGGTGAAAGCATTCTCATTTCTACCTCCCTTCATGTTCATGCAAGATTTTAGGGTTTTAAATTTTACACAAAGCATGGGTTTTACACAGAGCATGGACTATATTATTTACATTTATTTTCACACCTTCCAGTGTTTCAACAGCTGGATTTCCAGTTACTGAAGGTATACAGAGGTCTGTTCTAAGCTGTTCTGTCTCAGTTTTTAGCACGGGCAAACTGGTTCTGATTGGGTGTCATGGTGAAAAATTCAGTTGAAGGGTTAAACAAACCTGGCTCATGATGATTCCCAAACAAGTTTTGTTGTTATGGAAGGACAGCAGGGCCAGGGAGCTCCTGGAGCGGGGCCAGCGGAGGCTGCGCAGCTGAGGAAGGGCCTGGAGCATCTCAGTGGCCAGGAAAGGCTGCGGGAGCTGGGGCTGCTCAGCCTGGAGAGGAGCCCCAGCTGAGAGGGGCCCTCAGGCCTGGCTGGCCCTGGCTGCAGGGAGGGGCAGAGCAGGGCCCGGGCTCTGCTCCGGGGCCCAGCAATGGCACCAGAGCCACGGGCAGGGCCTGAGCCCAGCAATTCCCCTGCCCAGGAGGCAGAGCTTCTGCCCTGGGCACTGCCCAGCCCTGAGCAGATTGTCCAGAGAGCCTGGGGAGTCTCCTCCCTGGGGATATTCCAGAGCCCTCTGGACACAGTCCTGGGCCCTGGGCTCTGGGATGGCCCTGCTGGAGCGGGGAGGTGGCACCACATGAGCCACTCTGGGCCCTTCCAGCCTGACCCATCCTGGCACTCTGTAATAGTGTGTTTGGAATTGTCTAACAAAAAGACTTTAGGACTGTTTTAATAGCTGGTTTCAGTGATCAGAAAGAGCTGTGGGCTTGTTTCACAGAATCACAGAATGATTTGGGCTGGAAGTGACCTTAAAATTCATCTTGGTCCAACTGTATGGAAGGAAGGTTTGATGGCCATATGGGCCATTCCCTGCCTGAAGAGTTGGACTCGGTGATCATTGTGGGTCCCTTCCAACGCAGAATATTCCATGATTCTGAGATTAATTTGCTGATTGTTACTGTCTCTATTCATGCCAGGAGCAAACCAAGTCACTGCTCTAGTTGTATGAAACAATACTTCTTCCTTTTGATAGAACTGTTTCCAGCCAAAGAAAATAACTTCTGTAATTTATATTTATTGATCCTGGATAGTTTTGGAATTACAGAATACCCCCATTGAAGAGCAAACAAGGAGATTTCAGTCTGGAAGTGGAGAAACACGGCTCAGGCAGAAACCAGGAGAGGAGTCCTAAAAACACCAGAGCCCTGATGAACACAACTTCCCTGGGGTACATCTCCCAGAGTAGATATAAATTCCTCTTTGGAAATTTCTAATAGCTGATTTTGGAAGTGATTGATGGTAAAAAAGTTTGAATAACATGATCTTTAGGAAATGTCACAGGGCAAGTTCAGAAATCTGAAAAGTGATAAAGAAGTTAATACTTTTAAGTGGGAAATATGACCTACCTTAGAGCTACAGAGAAGCCTGTCATGTGAAACTGTGTTTTTATGTGTTCCAAAGCCACCTTCCTTTATATGACAAGTTTAGAAACTGTTTCATTTTCTGGAGGGGAAAAAAACCCCTGGACAATTTCTAAATGAACTGGTGAGACATGATTGCAAATGAGCTTGGTAAGTAACAAAATGCAGAATCCTACCTGTTTAAATGACCCAACTGGCCAAAAATGAAAAAAACAAAACAAAACCAAAAAACCCAACCCCCCCCCACCCCCAAAAAAAAGAAAAAAACCTTCCCATATGATTTAAAAGGAACAAACTCTCTGTAAGTCTGTGTTTACAGAACATCCTGGTGAATGGAACAGGAAATTTGCCCCAGGTCAATCTGTAATTTGGAAACACCAGAAGGTTGTGCATTTTAATTAAATTTCAGCTCTTTCTCTGGTGTTTTTCCCTCTGTTTCCTTTCTGTTCACAACAATTAAAAGACAAAATCCTGCCCCAGTTCCATGCTCAGGAATGCTTCCTGATTTGCTTTCATTAACTTCCACTATGCAAACATGTTTAATTATTTATCTGCTGATTTCCACAGGATATCCTACAGAGATGTGAGTCTGGTTCATAGGGATGCCATGTCAGCAGGAGCTGGAAAATCCAATCATACATCATTAAGGGAAGAGAAGCGATGCCTTCTCCAATTTGTTTATAGGTAAAGAAAAAATACTTCAGTTTAGGTTAAAATTTGGGGACCAAATACAGACTGGATCAGCTGGTACTTCTCTTAAAAGATTCCCACTTTGTTATTTGGACTTAAATATTGTGAGAGAAAAATGTTGCCATAGTACACAGAATTAAGCTGGAAACTCGTTGCAGTCCCTAGGAAATAACCTGTTCCATGATAGTGGACTAGAACATGCCCTAGGTAAGAATTGGGTTGGTTCTTTGGGAGTAAATATATTGAAAGAAAAAAAAATAAAAGACAGACTCAGACTACCAAACTGATGGCCATCCATGCTGAAATCCTGAAATGTATTTTAAATTATTTTTAAATTTAAAAAAAGAGAGGTGGAAGCGACAGCAGAGAGATTAAATCCTCTGCAGTGTTCAGCATGGAATATTTTGTGTGCGCTGTGAACCTTTATGAAAGCAACATCTGCTCCCATTTGTATGTTAATTTTTTTTTGGCATTTAAAATTTGGCTTTTAAAACTCATCCTCTCTCTTTTCCCTGTGAGTGAGGAGCTGAGTTATAAAGCAGGTGCTGCACAGAATGAGGGGAGCATCTGAGTCAAACCATACATAAAATTAGCACAAAGGGATAACTTCAGTTATGGAGTGTCAAATGCCAAGTTAGGGCATGCTAATAAGGTTTGAACCTGTATTGCCAGATTAATTTTTTTTTTCGGGGGGATTAGTCACTGTTTTCTATTCTCCCTGTCCTATTCTCTATTCCTTCCCAGGCAGCCATTCCAGAGGCAGAGGGAAGATCTGATTCCTCCATCCTTACTGCTGATACCCTAGCACATGAGAAACAGAAATGGAATCTTTAGATAGAAAATTTATTAGATTTTCTCTCCTTGTGTTTTAGCTTTGGTGTAAGGAAATGTCTGTGGTGCCTCTACAGGACTGGTTTTCATGAGCTGATAAATATCATTAAGACCAAGAAAGTAACCTTGGAGGGATGTCCAGGGGCTATCTGGCATTGTCCAGTTGACTTTGGGTGTATCTACACAGCCTCTGGAGTTTGGTGATGATTTTCCCCATATATTTGTATTTTCCCAATTTCCAGCTTGTCCCGTTGCCTCTTTTTTGTTGTCTTGCTGTTCTGAAATGACTCTGCCTCTCTGTTGGTAGGGCAGAATGTCTTTGCTTTTCAGTGCCAATCATCTTGACTGAAACCTAGGACACAGGAAAAACCTTCAAAACCAACTATTATTTCTTAATTTCAGTTATTTTATGGAAAAAATAGGAAGGCCCCACCTGTTTGATTTGAGCCTTGCTCTTTCCATAGCCCAGTTCCCTCTCTAGGAACCTGGAGAGGACAACTTATCCTGGAATGCAGGAGCAGCAGCAATTCCATTAATTTACTGTTCAGTTGGTCTCTATTTATTACTTTTGTGGTAGCATATTGTTCTGTGATGAATTGCAATCATTTCCTAAATCCTCCTTTCCATGGATTATTTTTTTTCCATTTAAGGTGCTTTTTCTGTCTTTTACAAAAATAAACCACTTTAAATAGACTTATTGAAAAGTGAGAAAATATGAATAAACCCCACATTGTTCTTTAAGGAAAATGTGCCAGACTCTGACCATCTCAGTCCCTCAGCACACAAAAAAAATCATGGAACAGAAGAGGAACAAAGATAGGCCTCAATCACATCCAGATTTGACAACTCTAGGGTAAGAGGTAATTATTCAAAATTAATTCACCTCCCACAAAATACCTTCTGGAGTTCACAGCCAAATCAGCCTCTGACCAAACTCCCTTTCCTAGGAATAAAAATGCCTTGCAAGCAGTGTGGGATAAAATACAACTTGGGGAATCTTAAGGAAATAAGAATTATTGCCTCAATTTCTTCCTTTTCTGAGTGCAAATCTAAAGATAATTGGCTTAAACATACTAAAAACAAAATTGGAGTCATCAACTGAACTTGCTGTTGTAACATAACATTCACATTTGCAATTATGCAAAAACTAGCTTATCCAGTTTCACAATATCTGGGTTTTTAACAGATTCCAAAATTCTGAAAAGTGAGGATTTTCCTCAAGAAACAAGGGTTTTTACAGAGTGCGAGGGGGCAGAGGTACACAATTAGACTCACAACTGAATCACTAAACATTTAAGCAAGTGTTTCTTTAGATGTATTTTTCAATGTTTTAATTTTTTTTAAAAAATAATTTCTATTATTATCCACTTTTCCTTTTTCCAGCTGAGTTCTTGGCTATTCCAAGCTGAGTTTGAAGAAAATTAACAGGGTCCCATGGCAATCTGATTCTTCTCACACAGTGCCTACTAAAAATTACCTTGAACCTCTCTCACGTTCTCAAACCAAAAGAGCTTTATAATTTCTTAATAATAAAATTAAATTCAGCCACGTGCAAGGTTTCCCATAACCTTAATAAAAGCCATACACAGCCAGATGGTGTTGATAATAAAAATCAGTGTCACTCATGGAGGTATATGGGGGATGCACCAGAGGGAAACAGAACTAGGGCAAAAATCTTATGCAGGGAGATATAAATTCTGTTATTCCACCTTCACCTCCTTTCACACCTTAGGGGTTGTCCTTCCAAGCCTTTCCTCTCACTTCCAAGCTACTATTGTATTTGAATAGGGGAAAAATAAAATAATACATTAAAAGAAAGTTCATGTGAAAGGCAGGTTGTTTTGACATTTTGACTTTTAATGGGAAAAAGTTTGGGGAAAAGTTTGCATTCAGAATTTCTACTGAACAGGAATTTTTTGTTATCAGATCTTCAGACAATTAGAGGGTTTCTGTTGTAATAAATTTTGCTGATGTGATAGTGAGCAAGGCAGATGCTGAAGTTGCAGAATTAAAATGCAACATTTTTGTTTCATTTTAAATTGATTGATATTTTTTTTCCTGCACAGGATCACAGAATATCCTGAGTTGGAAGGGACCCACAGGATCATCTAGTTCAACCCCTGGTCTTGCACAGACACCACAAAATTCAACAATCCCACCCTGTGCACCCCTGGGAGCATTGTCCAAACACTCCTGGAGCTCTGGCAGCCTTGGGGCCGTGTCCATTCCCTGGGGAGCCTGGGCAGTGCCCACCACCCTCTGGGGGAAGAACCTTTCCCTGAGATCCAACTTAAACCTTCCCTGGCACAGCTCCAGGCCAAACTTTTTTGGGTTTTGTTTAGAGAATTTATATCCTCTTCTTTTTTTTTTTTTTTTTTTTTAAATGGAAAAACTTGGAGATCTGTCTTGATTGCAGAAGAACTTTAAGTTCAGGATGTTAGCCTGAACTGCACCTAGTACAGTCATTATGTCAATGAGACTACAGGCACCTTAGAAGGAATTTCCTATCACTCGTTTTCTACAATGCTTTTCCCAACAGACCCCTTTTCTAACTGTTTCTTAGAGATTTCTTTAAGATCATGGTCCTCTATAATTCCATACTGCCATTAATAATCCTCTTTTCTCCTCTTTTCTCCTATTTATTTCATATTTCAAATTTATTTTGGGTAAATGGCACCAAATATGGGGTAAATGGGTAAGGTCCCATTTCCTTACTGCCTTTGAGCTGAGGCTAATTTAGCTGAGGGAGAGAAAATTTTTCACTTGTTCTTTGGTTGTTCTTGATTTGTTTTTAAATTTTAGTCAATTAATTATATAACTGAATAATTTTTTATAATAGAGTTGGTTTCCATGACTTCCAAATTTTGAATGTGTGTATCTTGTGTGACACAAACTTGCACACATTATCACAGCCTTCAAACTAAAGCCTCACATTTAATAATAAAGCACTTGTGGATTATGAGATCTTGACCTGCCTGAGGTAACAAACCACTCCCATGAAATCAAAAGGAAATGAAGCAACAAGTGAAAGCAGTCACAGTTTTTTAAGCTATTCTTTGCTTTCATATTTACCATTCTGTTGTTTGCCAGGATGATGGGAAAATGATGGCCTCAAATTACATCAGGGGAGATTTAAATTGGAAATTAAGAAAAAATATCTTCATGGAAAGGGTGGTCAGGCACTGGCACAGGCTGCCCAGGGCAGTGGTGGAGTTACCTTCCCTGGAACTGTTAAAAAAAACTGTGCATTTGGCATTTAGGGACATGGATTAGTGGTGACTATGGTGTTGATGCTGTTTTGACAACTGGATTTGATCCTAGTGGACTTTACCAACCTTAGTGATTCTGTAATTCTGGAATTCTATACCACTGCTTTGCCATTTATAAATTAGAGTGGACAGGGAGAACTTACACCAAGAGCAGATATGAAGAATTCCCTTTATAATTAAATGGCTGGAAAGACTCTTTTGACAGTTTCCCAACAGTTTATCTATAAATTCTGGCTACCTAACTCCATATTTCTGCACCTGGAATTCACAGTCTGTGAGCATATCCCACCTTCTCCCATTGCCCAGATGTCCATCAATCCTGGCTGGTTTGTACATGAATGCACATGAAACCACCCAGCTTTTGGGGGTTTGCCATCCTCCAAAGCTAAAGCACACAGTTATCCCTGACAGATTTAAAATGCACAGTGCTATAAAATCCATTAGAAGCAGCTTCTCTCTCTGCAGCAGAGTGTTTTGGGGAAGGGCCATGGCTTCACATCCCTTCAGCCATTAATCAGAGATTTCAACTACTTTCTCTTGTGATGTTGTAATGATAATGCTTCACTTATTCACATATCTCTGAAATTCCAGCTTCAGGGATCATGTGTGTTCATAATACTTACCACCTTTTTGCCTCAAAGAGAAATTGTACAGTCATGGGAAAAAGAAAAGCAAGAAAAAGAAGAGAAAAAGAAGAAAGGGAAAGGGAAGGGGAAACAAGAGGGGAAGGGAAAAAGGAAAAGGAAAAGGAAAAGGAAAAGGAAAAGGAAAAGGAAAAGGAAAAGGAAAAGGAAAAGGAAAAGGAAAAGGAAAAGGAAAAGGAAAAGGAAAAGGAAAAGGAAAAGGGAAAAAGAAAAAAAGGAAAAGACCGTTTGACTTCAGTCTGCATGGTCAGAAATTGTTGCCCAGAGCAGCCGTGGCTGCCCCACCCCTGGAATTGCTCAAGGCAGGATGAACCAAGGATAATCTCATTTCACTCTCTGCCATGGGCAGGGACACCTTCCACATGACCAAGTTGCTCCAACCTGTCCTTGAACACTTCCAGGGACTGACTGGTATTCCATACTGAGATGGTTTAATTCTTATTTCCATGCCCTGTTTGCTGTTAACTCTATTATGCTCCTCAATGAGATGTAGTGTGGCCATTTTACACGTGGCAGTGCACAGAAAATGGAGCTGGATGACAACTAAGGCAGACAGAATGTACTGAAAATGTCTCAGTGCTTTGCTTCTGTCTTTGTTTAGCCCCTGCAAAGTCTAATCTAAAGATCCAAATGCATTCTGTCAGAGTTAACACAACATAATAACCTCCAATATTCCTGATTGTTTGTTGCTGATGAATTCAGGATCAAATACAGATACAATAGGCCTTGAGGAAGATGGTTTTTGAGTTTGTGTGTTTCTCAGAGTTGTTTTTCCATCAGTCTTTCCCTGCTCCTGAAATAAAATCACAGTGCTGTCCAGAAATACTTAATGAGTGTGAAACTGCTGAAGGATGTCATGGACATAGCACTGTGGGGCTTTATCTTGACTATTGGATGCTTTAGGGCTAATGGAAAACAGCCATTAATTGGGAGATTTGCTTTATGGCCATGTGCATGGAAAGCAGCAACTTATTCCATTTTAATTTACTTCTGCTGTTTCATCTGTTAAGATTCACATTTTCCAGCTTTCATCTGCTGTCCTTAGGGACAGAAATGCATTTTAAAGCAAAATGATGTCTGCATTCTTTTATGGAGAGAACAGGGCTGGGTTTCAATTAAAAAATATGAAGTAGCTTGAGATTAAGAATAAATTCACAGGTGCTGGTGGCACAGACCTGGGAGGGCCGTGGCACTGGTGGCACAGGCTGTGGCACTTTCTTTGGATGGTGTGGCAAGTTTTGGGCAGCTGGGGGCTGCAGGGGTGATGATGTGAGAGGAGACCAGGGATACCCCGTGATGGACACAGCTCATTTCAGCCATGTCCAAGGACCTGCCTCCGGCCAAAGCCAAGCTGGTGACACTGGGGACACCTCTGGGATGACATACCTGAGGTGTAAATAAGGAAATGTAAAAGGCAACTCTGCAGACACCCAGGGCAAGGCAGGAGGAGGGGGAAGAACTGTTCTAGGTGCCAGAGCTGAGATTCCCCTGAGATTACATAGGACAGCCCATGGGGAGGCAGCTGTGCCCCTGCAGCCCCTGGAGGTCCCCAAGGATGCAGAGATCCACCTGCAGCTCCTGGAGGAGCCCACCCTGGAGCAGAGGAATGTGTCCTGAGTGAAGCTGCAGCCTGTGTAGTGCCCTGCCTGTAGGAGCAGGTTTTCTGGCAGAACCTTTGTCTGGGAGAAGTCTGTTCCAGAAGGAGTGTAGCCCATGGAAAAGACTTCATGCTTGTGCAGGGGACAAGTGTCTGGACGAAGAACCAGCAGAGATAAAGTGTTGTAGACTGACCACCACCCTTGTTTTCCATATGGGAAGAGATAGAACAGTTGGGAGTAAATCCCAGAATCCCTGGATGGGTCAGGTTTATCTGGTGCCACCTCCCAGCTCCAGCAGGGCCATCCAAGAGCACAGGGCACAGGATTGTGTCCAGATGGCTCTGGAATATCTCTAGTGAGGATATTCCACACCCTCTGTGGTCTCTGTTCCAGTGCTCAGTCATTGCCCAGGGAAGTTCTTACTCAATCCTGGGAAGAAAGGAGAGGGAGGAGAAGTTGTTTTTAGACTTATTTCCTCACTATCCTACTGTGTTAATGCTTGGCAATAAATTAAATTGTTTACCCAAGTCCAGTCTGGTTTTCCCATGACAGTAATGGGTGAATGATCTCTCTGTCACCATCTTCAGTTTTCCCAGGAGATTCTCTTTTTCATGCTGTTCAGGAGGGGCAGAGAGAAAGCAGCTGGGTGGGTGTCTGGCAGCAACTTTCCATCTTCTTTCTATCACAGTCTTTCATTTGCTATTTTTTAGCAGTGACAGAATTTAATATCACTAAAACCTGAACATCTGGTTGGCTTTATCCATGTGACTGTGGCAGTGTTTTCCTTCTGAGTCTTCATTCCTGCTGCCTTTCCTGCACTGGAGTCTCCTCTTGCCGACACAATGTGAACATCATTAAGGCTGAATCACCTGGGAAAAGAGGTTTGCTCGTAGCTGGAAATTTTTTATTATTTCTTGTCTTCTGATTTGTATCACTCACTGATGATTTCCTGAGAAATCCATCTGGAAAGGCCTCAGCACCAGCAGAATATAGAAGATTTGGCCTGTGTGATCTTCAAATCTTCAAATTCCTGCTATTTTCAAAATGCATTTACTCATCTGTTTAAAAATAGAGAAAATCATGCCAAAATATAAAGGTCACCTCTCTTTTTGATAATGCACATTTTAAATATAAGAAGTTATACATCAAGGGGTGAGAAGTGGAGGATAGAGCAAGATGCAAACCCTGTTTTGTCTGATGCAATCTCACAGAACTTGTGGTATAACTCTTGAGCTGGTTTTGGTGCTGAATTTTCCCATTTCTTCCTCCATTTTAGTGTTTCTGTTTATTTAAATGACCTCACCTTTCTTGTTGTGGTTAAATTGACCACTAAGAAAAAAGAGCTGACCTCCCAAATATGTCTTTTTCTATAAACTGCTGTATAATTTTATTTTTATCAGTTTAATAATTTAAATTTAAATGGTGGTTTGAATTCAACATATTTATGACATAAATTAATATTTTCCAAGCTTATCTGTTGCTCAAACACCAGCAGGCATGTTTTACCTGCTCTCTGTCCATTCTCAAAGTTTTGAATGAGCCAGTGTTTTTCCTGCAGTATTGAACAGTGTTTAAATTGAAGGAGGTTGCTGAGAAATCAATCTCTGTGCTGGCTGATGCTTTTTGCCAGCTTTCACTTAGCAGGTGATGCTTCCAAATCTCCTCTAATGTCACTGAATGACACTGTGTACCCTCCTTAACAAGTGATCTATACCTTCATCTCAACATACTGGAATTTATTACTTTTAATTACTTTAACTGCTCACTCAAAAAGCTTCTTCCTTTCCAAGCTTTTTTTTTTTCCTTTTCCCCTAGCAAAACAAAAAACTGAAATAGGAGAACAAACGATGCATTTTAATTATGTCAATAACATGCAATTTTCTGGTCTTTTCTCCTTCCCTGAAGTTTAATTAATTTGGAGCAAGTAATAAATTGTCATAGCTTTCAGCTCAGCTCCTCGATTCAAAATGAATTCACTTCATTCGATGAAATTAGATTTGAGATCTGTACTCATCTCTGTGAGCTCCAGTTCCTGGCTAGGAATCAAAATGCGGACATTTTACAAAGAAAACAGTTCGATATTTTGTGTTGGTGTTGATGCCAAGCCTGTTGTACTCATCCCATGATCCACACCCCATTTCCCAATCCTGTCATCACCATGACATTGTCCCCAGTCCTGCTCTCAGCAGGATATTCCTGCAGAGAATATTCCTCGCTGCACCTAGGGGTGTTCCTGAGATCAAACTGGCAGAATTCACCCCAAAGAAGCTGTTGTCCTCTAGAACAGGTAAATGGACTGAGCTGGTGACCAGTCCAGAAGGTCTGGGGTGAGGTGTTACACCAGAAGGTCACTCAGAGGTGCCAACATCCACTGCAGGTTGGTTGTTTCCTCTTAAAATCCACCCATGTGTGCAGCTTCCATCAGAAAGAGACACTTGGATTTTTCTCCATGGAGGGTTGGAAAAGAAACCATAAGAGAACTTATGAGTTCTCTTACTCACAAGTTCCCAGAGTGAATCCAGAACCTCCCACACTTGGATGGGTGTCTCAGGACAATGTTCCCAGGAGTTATTTTTCTCCAAAAGCCACTTCTTCCGGCCACAGCCTGGAAGAAGCTTCATGGTTTTTGTTTGGAGTTTTTTTGTGTTTTTTAAGTTATTGTAGAAAAAAAAAAAAAAAGGTCATTTGCAGGATAAATTTATAGGAAATACATTTGTCTTATTTATAGACAAAACCTCCCCTCTTCTATAATTGTCCAGTTCCTGGAGTGTGTTTCACACACACAGAAATCTGTTCATTCCAGAGAAGATGCTGTGAATCAAGTTTCTCAAGTTTGGTGTTTAACTTTGTTACATATGAGAAGAATTCATGTTTTTGAACTTGAAACATTTTTCAAGGTTTACTGGCAGAGACTTCCCCTGCCATACACTACTCCCAGCAAGAAAGATGATTGTGTCTTAGACAAATCAATCAGGAGTATTATTATTTTTAATTAAGCATGAACTCCCAGAACTCTGGACTTTGGGAAAGTCATCAGCTCTATTTCTGATAATCAAAGAGATCATTTTATATGCTGAGAGCCAAGGAAGATGGAGCTACATCCCAAAAAAGGTGTCAGTAAGTTGGAGGTGTGAATCTTGGAATATCAAGGTATTCATCCTGTGAAAATTTTCTGTCTCTGTAAACTTTCTCAGAAGAACGGATTAATGTTGACTCATGATTATCCAAAAGGAGCATTGTCATATTGTGAATTATTATTTTGATCTTCTGAATACTCATAATGTTTTTTGAGTGACACACCTTTACTAAAAATTTTATCAGGTGGATATGAGTCCTGGTATGGAGTATCAGAGGTTTATTTGTGGAATAATATTAAATATCATATGAATACTGAAAACTGAGCTATAATGCCTTAAAACCTGTGTTCAGATGCCACTCACAATTTCTGATGCCTAAAGTCTGATCTTGTTTTGAGAGCCTGACCCTGCCAAGGTCTGACTGTTCTGCCCTGGTCCAAAAAGAGTCTTGGGCAGACATGAGTCTAATCAGACATGTACAACTAGACCTGCCCTTGGCAATCCCAGCTTCTGATGGTGGCCTGCTTTAAAAAAACAATTAAAATAAAAGAGATAAGAGAGAAATCTGTTCAACTGTGTTGCCTTGGTAGGTTGGAGACCCTCAGAGTCTGTGGTATAAAAATGTACCTAACAAGCTGAGATGTAAGAAGTAATGAATCCTAATTACAATGACTGCAAGGCTACTGAATTTAAAATCAGAATATTTTATTCCACTGAGCAGCACCTTCCAGCCTGCACCATGCTCAAGACACAGAAATAGCTACAGTTTGCAAGGGAATTAAGTGTAATTGGCATTATAATCACTCTATCAGCATTAATTTATTAGAATAAATGTTATCATGTTGTTATATGCACCATCCAATGCCACAAATAGAGAAAGGAGAAGGGATGGGAAGTGAAAAGCTTGGAAAAGGATTGAATTTTAAGATGACTTTCACCTTGCACTGCCAAAACCACTGAGCCTTTGTGGGACAAGAAATGTCTGTCCTGGGTCAATCTCACAAAGTATTGCACTTTCTGAGGCCAAATAACTCTTTTCATCAGGGCTCTGGTACCGCAGCACTGAATTTTGCTGTGCAGCTGACAGTGAGACAATTTGTAGCAGTCCAATGAATAACACAGCAGCCCGGCTGGGTTCTGACACTGGAATAACTATTTACTGAATATTTGTGTTTCTATGCTAAAGAAAACCCACTCTATTCTGGGCATCTCACAGAGGTGTTTTGGTCATGTTTTTGTTCTCTCGCAATGAAACTGCAGGCAAACCCCATTTTCTTGCAAATGGAGTTACATGGCAAGTTTTGTTTTCCCCTGTCTTGTTCCTGCCATTCCTCATTTGCACCAGAACTCTTATTTCCATTTCTCGCCATCCAGCAGGACAGTGTTATTTATTATTTTGTTTCCTGCCAATTATTGATTCCTCTCTGCAGAACACATTACAGTTGCTGGTTGAGGGATTTTTTCCTCTGGGAACAGAGAAAATCTTTATAAAAAGCAAGTGTTTAGTAGGCTCATATGCTGGTCCTTTCAGTGCTGAGGTTCAAGCAAGGTCTGGCTGGAAATTCCAGGCTTTATTTCCAGGGAATGTACTGACAAATTAGTCAGGAGTGCATTTCATCAATTCCTTGTGGCTAAGGTAATGTATATCTTTATGTAGCTCACTGAAAGAAATTCAGGGAATTTTATCCTCAGCCACAGAAGTTTTGGAGAGATTAGCACCTTTTAATTATTTTTTTAGCAAAGATGTTCTTCTTGCATTATTTGGGAGGACAGGGAAACACAATTTGCTCTTTTTTTTTTATTTATTTTTTTATTTTCAAGTTATGCCACAGAAGATAAAAGGGTGAACTGTTAAATGTTAAAACATTTTGGGAAGTCTAAGTGGTGAGCAAGCTAGGTGTGGAGGTGGTGTTTTGGGGGCAGTTCTTGTGAAAAGAGGCTGGAATTCCTCAGGTTAATGCAGGACTCAGTGTGCACAGACAGGAAGAAAGCTGCTGCTCCTTAAGATTTCCATCAAATATCCAGTTTTGTTGGAGCTATCAGCTCCCTGGTGTAATTCAAGGCTGGGTCATGACTCTGCTTAGGGTTAAGATCTGAGGGAAGAGGATGTGAAGAAGACATTTTCTATTAGATTCCCCTTATCTAACACCGAGAGATAAGAGGTTATCATGGGGAGCTACTGTCTTAAGTTGCATTTTGCTGTAGGTGCTACCTCCGTAGCTGTAATTACAGCTTTGATTTCATGCTCTGATCATGTCTGGATGCTCTGGAACCAGGAAAGTATTCCTGGGGCCTAAGGCTTGTCACATGTTCCAGTGCATAATCTCAGGCTGAAATAAAGGGTAGGGCTTGGGTGGTGGTTCTGGGTATCCATAGCTGGGTGCTTGTGGGCTCAGCACACTGGAAATTGTCTTAGGTCTGCTGATATCTCTGTTGTCTCTTCCATTTGTCTTCCAGATTTACCATTTACCCCATTGATATGGCTCTGGACAGATCAGAGCAGACAAATGCAGAAGGATCAATTTACACCCTTGGATTCAGCACAGCCATGAGAATTCTGAAGGGATTGGATCTATCAAAGCCTATTTTTAGTATATTGATAAGGCTTTTGGCTCTACATTTTTGATAGCAAGGGTTTTAGAACTTTAAGGATCCCACACTATATACTGGATTCTGAAAGCTTCCTGTGTTGGGGTAAGTCCAAGCATGGATTTAGGGAAAAGTTCTTTTCCAGGTAGGCAGATCTGGGCTATGATACCAAACAGGAAATACAAAGATTCTGTAGCCCAGTTTGTTTCTCTGTGCTTACAAATTCCTGAGGGTAGGAGGAAGATTAGTGGAGAGGTAATGATGCTTTAAAATTTGATCAGCATTAAGAGTAGATTAAAGGAAATTAAAGATTAAAGGTTTATTGCAGCCTTCTGCAAGGGCTTTGGTGATAAGGAATGACTTGGTGGATATTAGAGATCAAAATATGGGTTTTTTCTACTACAGCCAAGTGGGGGGTTATGAGACTGGCTGATACTGGTTTAGGAGAAAACTTTATCCAACATTTTATTCCATTGATAATTTAAGGTTAGAATTGATGTTTTGGAGTCAAAATTGTGCAATCATTTGTGGAAAACCCCTGAGCGGCAGAAAAAAGACTCTTGCTAAGTATCATCAGAGCTTTACAGCCCTACTATGACATGCCAGCCTGAGACATGATTATCCATATTCAGAAACACTTTTTTTTTTTTACTAGATGCTGTTGGATCCCGAAAGTGAGGAAATGGGCTGTGACCTTCCTTTTATCCCTAACTACACACCATGCCTGGTGCTAATTGATATTCAGGAACTGAATCACCAGGCACTGGGGGTGAGTTAGGATAATCTCGCTATACGTTTTTACATCTCCTGGGTTTTAAAGAAACATTAGAAATTCAAAGAGAATTTATTTAAAGACATAGAGTTTTCATTTAGCGCTAATGGCACATGATGAAACTGCTGGAAATGAACTTTTGGCTTTGATTATAATGTGAATAAACTTATTCTGTAATTTCTTGGGCAGTGGATTTGTAGAAAGTTAAATGTAAGGCATAAGTCAATAAAAGCAAATCTTTTCTCACACTGGTGATCCAAATTAAAATGCTGTTAAAAAGGCCTTGGCACTAATCACAAATCCTAATTTCATCACAAACAAGGGAAAATATCTGTAGGAAAGTCAAACATGAGTGAACTCACTTTGCAGCATCACTCCAGGAAAATATAACAGTATCCCAGGCTAAACCCCCATGACTTCTTCACATTCCAGGTGCTCTGTTTCAGGGTTCTGATCCTGCTGTAAGGAAAGTGAAACTGTTCTCTCTTGACAGAACCCTGAGGGACTTGAAGAAACCAGCAGGAGAGTGATTGTGTGGTCTTTAAGCTCCCAGCCCTGTTCCTGAGCACACTGCTAACAGCAACATTCATTATATCCCACAAACAGACCACAAAGAGGACGTGCTGTTACTGTCCCTCTTCTTTATTCCTGTGGCCCTGTAGAACAGCCACTTTCAGATTTCCAAGCCTTAAACCTTAATTAAAATCATCACACTGGCTGTAACACGGAAAGGCACCATAAGGCTTTCCACCACTACAAACCACCAGCTCTAATCAGCCTCTTCCTGTCTCTGGCAATGATACAAAATTGAATTGAACAAAATTGAACAATTTCCCTTCTTTAAGCTTATTTCCCAAAAGCTTCAGTCCAACGTTCCCAGCATAAGCTCTCCATCTAAGTCGGGGGGTGGGAAGCACGAAATCAAGTAAAAAACTGAGCTCTTGGTGCTTTAATTTCCCAAACCCAGCTGTAACCTAATCTGTGCTGTAACTGGAGAACAAGTGGAGAATATAAAGCCTCTGCAGAAACCAGCCCTCTCTCTGCTTCTGTGGCAACCTGGGCTCCTGAGGTTTCACTTTTCCAATTAAACTGCTAGACACCTTTCCCCATTACTAAAGAGTAACAAAAAGGAATCACATTTCTGGGGGCTCTGCTTACCTCCTCATTTTGCAGGCCTTGGAGGATGCAGCCATTGGTTCTTGGGTGTGTTTTGTTCACAAGCTATGTGCTTAAAGCTGTCCCCAGGAGAAGAAAATTTTGCTTGAGTCCTGGTGTGAGACCAAAATCAAAGGTGTGTCAGTATGTTGAGCAGGAGGGAGCTGTTGAGGAGGATGTTCAGATTCTACTCTGCTGGAGAATCACAGACTGTTTAGATTGGAAGGGATCTCCTGACATCCTCTTGTACACCTCAGACAGATTGTCCAAGAATAGGTCAGTATGGAATATCCCCATGGGTGGGGACTACACAAACCCCAGGGAAACCTGTCCTAAATCAGACTTAATTCATCTGAGCATGACACAAAATTAGTTCCCACTCCATAAAAGTTGTCATGTTTAAATGATGTATCACATTTACTACACTGCCACCAGCTAATTCATGACTTCCTACTTTCATAAAAGTGATATCTATCCAGGATGGTTCCCCTCCCAGACAGAAGATTTGTCTGAGAAATCTCCAAAGTGCTTTGGTGAGTGACAGCTCTGTTTTCCCATGCTCCCCTAGACATTCACTGGTGGCTATTTCCAGCAATTAAAAAATAGATCCAATGACAAGGGCAAGTGCAGACCTTGCAGCTGGGGGAGAAATATCCCAGCAGGGGCTGGGGACCAACTTCGTGGAGAAGCACTTGGTGGTCCTGGGAGACAATGAACTGTCCCTGCATCAGCAGAGTATCCTTGGGGCCAAGGAGACAATGGGATCCTGAGATGCATCAGGAAGAGCATTCCCAGCAGGTCATGGAGTGACCCTGCCCCTGTGCCCAGCCCTGGAGGCAGCTCTGGGGTGCTGTGTCCAGCTCTGGATCCTCAGCACAGCAGGGCCAGGGAGCTCCTGGAGCGGGGCCAGCGGAGGCTGCGCAGCTGAGGAAGGGCCTGGAGCATCTCAGTGTCCAGGAAAGGCTGCGGGAGCTGGGGCTGCTCAGCCTGGAGAGGAGCCCCAGCTGAGAGGGGCCCTCAGGCCTGGCTGGCCCTGGCTGCAGGGAGGGGCAGAGCAGGGCCTGGGCTCTGCTCCGGGGCCCAGCAATGGCACCAGAGCCACGGGCAGGGCCTGAGCCCAGCAATTCCCCTGCCCAGGAGGCAGAGCTTCTGCCCTGGGCACTGCCCAGCCCTGAGCAGATTGTCCAGAGAGCCTGGGGAGTCTCCTCCCTGGGGATATTCCCGAGCCCTCTGGACACACTCCTGGGCCCTGGGCTCTGGGATGGCCCTGCTGGAGCGGGGAGGTGGCACCACATGAGCCACTCTGGGCCCTTCCAGCCTGACCCATCCTGGCACTCTGGGATTCTGAGATACTGAGCCAGGGAGATCTCTGCTCTAACCCAGAGGATATATGGCAGTTTTTGTATGTTCCTGCTTTTATGAACAATACTTAGAGCTCCTCTCCAGCTGAGTTAAAGAGGTTGGGGTAGAAAAGGGGCTGGTCCTGTGTGGAAAGAAAGAGTGATATGAAAGACTAAGAATCAAAATTAATTTCCTCTAGAATAAGATGATTATTCTTAGAGCTGGCAAGTAGAGGCAACACTGCTACAACAATTTGCAATTTTTTTTTAGTCTAAGTAGGGCATGTTTGGGGGATTGTTTGGGGTTTTTTGGTGGAGTTTTTTTGTTTCTTGTTGCAGAGAGCATTTGTGTATCTGCAATGTCTTTGCATTCTGCGTAAGATGAGGATCACAATCTCCTCTGAGATTTCAAAAATAAAATCTTTTTACCCACTTCTTTCTCTCTCTCTGTACAGACACATCTTCAGTGTCTGCAGAGGTTTATTTCTCTGCCTGATCCTGTTAACTGATGATCCTGAAGCACTTGAAGGATGCAGATAGTGGGAACAGGAATATAAGGAAGTCACAAAGTCCTGCCTCCAGATGTTTGAGTGGTTTCCTCATAAAGATGGTTATTCTTTTGAAACACTGCTTTCTTTTCTGCCTCTGCTTCTTTAATTTATCTTCCCTGCAGTGCTGCAGCCTGAGGAATAACAGAGAATCTTGAAACTCTCCAACACCCACCTTTAAATCTCCGTTCAGCTCTGCACTTGTAAAACCATGCACAACATTATTGTGAAATAATTGATCTTGGAATAAAGGATGGTGAGAGTAAATGAATTGGAAAGGTGTTTTAATGGGAAGCTTTTCCAAAATTATGTTTTAATTATTTACAAATACACACTCTTGCATAGTCTTTTGCCACACAGGTGTGCACTAAATTTACCACCTTGTACCATTTTTTCAAGTAAGCTGGAGGGGTTTGTGTTTTGCACTAAAGATTCAGCAAAGCTACTGTGCATTACAATGAGCACTGCCTATAGATTTTGTACAAAAACTCCAACTTGTTCAGTGTTCTCCATGAGTCCAGACTCCAAACTCCCCCCAAATCAGTCCATTTGAATTTATATGCTCATTCTGTTACTTCTTTTAGCCATTTGACCTCTCGTTGTCCCAAAATATAACCTGCAAGTAGTTAACATGACCAAGGGTACTGCAGGAGTGCTTGGCTGAAATAACACATTTCTTCAAGTACACTTTGGCTTCAGTTTTGCATTCTGTGTTGAAATCTTGCAAGCTACATATTAAGAGGCTTTTGTTTTGCATGTGTTGCTCTTTTAAGCAGCAGTGAGCTATTACTTGGTGAACATTTGGCTTCTCATGGGTTCTCTGATGTGTTCATGAATATTTTGGGGACTGGAGGTCCTCAGGTGTGTGACAGAGCTGGGGAGCTGCCTAAGCACACATACTACGCATATGCAAGGTTCTCAAAGACTCAGCTTTTACTGCCTGTCTGGAAACCCTATAGAGTTCTAGAGAAAAGAGTCTAAAATTCCTAAACTGTGTTCTGTTTCCCCTTGCAATTCATTGCACCTTTAAGGTCATTGTCCGAATTTATTATCAAGTATCCTCTCAATACTCATTATTTTGACCTTCTGGCTTAGAAAGAGCTGAGAGACCCCTGTTCACTCATTTTCCCAATGCTATCCTAGAAATACATTTATATTGCAGACTATCAAAGCAATGCACCCAATCTTTTTGTATTGTTTTTTGTAGCCTAGTGAAAAATATTTGTCTATCCTTGGTCTGAAATAAAAGAAAAAAATAAAAATGTTTTACAGAGGGGAAAGAAAAAGGAATCTAACACATTCAAATAAGAAGCAGCTAAGGTATATTTTATCTTTTCCTATGTAATAACAAACAAGCTTGGTGTAATTTTTTTTAAAATGTGTCCTTTATCATCTCTTTTTATGTATTTCCAAGTGGAATTGAAAGCCTCAGGGAGTATCTGCCCCAGTACATTTAAAACGTATTATAGCACTTCTGCAATATCATGAAAAGATAAAGGAACTGGCATTTAATTTCACATGTTTCAAATTATTTAGTGCAACTTAAATCAGGCTTCAAATTGCAGACCCTTGTGACCATGCAGAAGGTATTGTCTGTAGAAGTGAGATAAAAGAACCAGATATCAGGATCCCTTCACTGATTGCCCCTATCATCAGATATTGATAATTATTAATTAGATCCCATGGAGTCTTCTCCAAACTGAGCATTCCCAGATCCTTCAGCCTTTCCTCATAGGGGACTTCCTCCAGTAAATAAAACATCTTTCTCATACAAAATATAAATATTTTGTTACTGGTTTGGGTCAGTTTTTGTTGTGTTTTATTTTTTAATTTTCCTTTGCTTGAGCAATAATTTAAGTTTAAAACTACCTCAACAGGCTATTCATTTCATAAGGCTAAATCAAAGTATTTCCTGATCTACTGTAGATGTCAATGTTAGTTACAGCTCAAAAGCCACAACCACTAAAGCACCATAATTGATGAAGCAGAAGAAACTTTAAATTACTTATGTTTAGTCAGCATCCTCTTCACATGAGTATTTAGAAAATGTATATAAATCCCCCAAGGCTTCAATATAGAACTGAGTTAAAATGTGTGCTTCTTTTCAATTGCATGTTTGGCTGGAGATTGCTAAAATGAGCTTAAAATGTCACCTGAATTACTTGGAAAAGTAAATTTTTGCACCTATTGAAAGTGATCTGAAAGAGAGTTTTCTTTCAGCTTGGCCCCTGAGCAGAGTGAAGTGTATTTAGTGGCTGTGAAAATAACACAACTGCTGAGGGAAATGTGAGGATGAAAGGCAGAGAGCAAGAAAGAGCAGCACAAGGCACAGCCAGAAGCACGGCCTTCAAGGGGGGAAATTAAATTAGGCAAGTCTGGTTTCCTTTTCCTAAAATTACTGAAGTGACAGATCAAGGCACTGATGCAGAGGCAGAGCTATGGGAGATAGAGAGAGGGAATGAACAGGGAATTGTACTTGAAAATAGAGTTTAAATAGTGTGGCTAGAGCTTATCCATGGGACTGAAAGGCATGAGAAGACCTAAAAAAAAAAAGCCCTGAAAACAGTCGTGGATCTAATCTTATCAAATAATGGGGTTTGGACCCATCTCTCTGAAACCACACTGATTAGTGGCTTGGCATTTGTCTGCAGGGTTTACTGAACATTGTTTATAATGACTTGAAATTACTCAGAAGATTAAAAAAGATTTCACATTTTCAGTTCATTTGACTTTTATTTGATCTGTAAGAAGTGTGGTGAAAAAGCACAGCTGGTGTATTACAATAAATAAAGGATTTGTTTGTTCTTATAGTTTTATCTCTAAAATCATTTTAAGAATACATATCTGAATTATAAGTTTTATGTAGAAGTGAGTATTTTATCTCAATATCTGTTAAGAAAGACCAAGTTGTCAGGTGAGCATTTCGTAATTCAAAAGTTAAATTATATCTTAAATCAATAAATTGAAAGGAACTGATTAATGAAGTACTTTTGTTTGTACCTTTGGGTTTGCTATCTATAGTCTCATGTGATAATTCATACTAACTCATCATAGGTTTATTTTAGCAGTTTCTAAGTAAATACCTGGAATATATGCATATGAAGTAATATTTTAGGTACAGCTTGGCAAATCACTGAAAATCACAGTGCAGATGAATTGATGAGCAAGAAATCAAGTATCACTTTTGTATCATGTGGGAGCTGCATTTATTGGATTAAATTACCCCTTTATTCCCTTTTAATATGTTTGCAAAGATGGTAGAGCTTCTTAGGGCCAACAAAAACACATGATTTGTAAAAAATCACATGAATTCACAGAATATTTCTGGTGTTTTGGGCATGTAAACATTCAGTTCCTTTTTATTTCTCTGCAAGGCTGACCTGGGTCAGAACTGCAGTGTCCTTTTGAGAAGCCCTTCTCAGAAACATGAACTGCTGCAAGAGAAGGAACCAGGGAACTGAACAGAGATTTTAGGAGTTTTCTTTTCCTGCAGCAGTTTCCCACTTACCGTTTGGAATATTCCAGGGATGAGGGAATATGCATCAAAAAGAAAGGACTATGCATCAAAAAGGAGGAAACATGCATACAAAAAAGCCAGATTTAGATAAGAAGAAACACTGCTGTGGCTTTTTGAGGTATTTTGTAAAGCACTCAATGCTACATGAACCCACCTAGTCCATGGTTAATCTCTGAATAAAATGACGAACATCAGGCTTCATCGAAAATAATGGATGCTAATCTTAGCTCTTCTCAACAAGACATTTAAAAATTCAAAGCCTTTCCATGGAACAAGGGGGTTTGCAGGTTCTATCAGCATAAGAACTATAAACTCAGGTGTTTAACTCAGACAAAATTGACCTGTAGCCACAGTTTGTATAAAACAGGGAGACAAAGCATTTAATATTAAATAACATCATCACCTGCTGCTTCCTCTTTCTGTGTCAG